GTGCAGCGTTCTGGGCGGTACAGACAGAATAACCCGTACAGCGTTAGACGGCTCCAAACCCAGCCCGGTAACGCTGGGCGACACTAGAACACTGGGCGAGTCTCAGTCAGGGGTATGTAGCATGAAGCCCTTTGTAAGAAGCGCCTTGATCACGGGTGTGTAACCACTACACTACACAGTGTGATAGAAACGTCCCCTACTGTGTTATGAGTCATCCGCCCGGCAGCGTGTAGGTTGATATTGAACCTGCGGGTCCATCACTCACGTAGAACGAAAGCACTTAAGACCGAGCTGCGCCCCGTCGATACCGCCCCGTCGCTGCGCTCCCTCGCGAGCCCCCACGCCTGCCGGCCAGCTGCGCCGCGGGGGTGAGCAGCCGACTCCGCCCAAGGGTAAGCGGATTCGCCTGCGCTGACCGCCGGCCGGCCGAAAGCCGCGCTGGCTGCGCCGGTGTCCGCCGACGGCCGGCCCGGCCACCGCGCCAGCCCAGCTTACAGCCGAGTCCGCTGCCCGTAAAAAGCGTCCGGGCCGACCCTGATGGGATGCTGGGGGCGGGGGGCGGCACGGTCGGCCGGGAGCGTGGCCGCGCACTGTTCTGATCCGCGGCGGCGGTGCGCTGAGGCGTGAGCGCCGCCGCCGGCGCCGATACCCTAGCCGTGTGGGAGCGGAGAGAGAGCCAGTCGCGCCGGACCGGCCGGCAAAAACGCTCCGGCGCCGACCGGGGACGTGCCGGTCGGCCCCCTGCCGCCCGGCGACCGAGCTCGTCGGCCGGCCAGCTGCCGCCTGGCGACCGAGCTCGCCGGCTGCGGAAAGCCGAGCGGCCGCCGGCCCGGGGTGGGCGCGGGGCGCGGGGCGCGGGGCGCGGGCCGCGGCGCCGCCGGCCGACGGCTCCATCACGCCCGGATTAGAGCCGGCGGCGCCATGGAGCCAGAGGCCCGGCGCCGCCGCTCTAATCCGGGACACCGCATCGGACCGACGTGCCAGCACCAGCCCGAGGTTACGCCGGCGGCGACCAGCTCGCTTGCGCCCGCGGCGCCCTCTTTGGCCAGAGACGCGGACGACCTGCTAGCTGGCGGCGGTGACACTGGTGGCCACGATGTCTCGCTGCTGACACAACGATGGCGCAGGGTGACGAGGAGGGAGATCAGGAGGGCGGGCGGCGTGCGCGAGCGAATCGCTCATTAAGACGTCGGGCCAGGATCATTCCCGTCGCGGGATCTTTCACCGTCCCACGACCCGGTGTGGCGACCCGGTATGGCGACGCAAATGAATGACTCACGCACCTGCATGCATCAATAACAAACAACCATGAACCCAGCGGTCGACATACCTTTTTCTCGGTCATCACGTAGAGGTGCTGCTTGCGCTTGTCGAATCGCAGGTCGGCCTGCACGCGGCTGCCGTGCTGCACGGCCAAGTCACCGTACTCGTTGGCCTTGATCTTGCGCTCCGAAAGCGGCTCCACCACCACCTGCGACGGAAGGCAGTGACGGTCAGCGCCGGCGCGTCAGGGTACGTCGGCGGCGACACCGCTGACCACCGCCAGCGGATGGGGCGGCGCCGGGTATACGCGGGCACGGCCAAAGATGTCCGCGGAAGTCCACCATACACCAAACATGTCCCGTCAGTGCAGAGGATATCAGCAGTCCCGGCATGGCACCAATACCGAAAAGCGGTTCGCAGTGGTGACATAAAACAGGCTTTTAAACGTGGGTCTCTCCGCATGCGCTGACAAAGACATGATACATAGGCTCTGCAAGGAAAACACAGCTGGCTCAAATAATCACCCGTAGCAACACGACGAGGCGCCAAGTATCTTGGCCACATCAAAACACCCGTCGCTCGCTGCATCAGACTGATCGGCGCCCGACAGTCAGCCTCATCTCGACCCTCTCTCCACACGTCGCTC